CAGCTACTCCCTTGCCCTTCCCCCCACCCCTTACCCTGCCCTGAGTTTCCCAGGCTGGGGCAGCCACATGCAGGAGGCGGGGCCAGATGGGCCCTGCTGTTGCAGGAGCCCGCTGGGCTTCCCCTGGGTCCTACTCTCTTTGGTTCCTTTCACATCTTTGACAGTAACTAAGGAGAGATACATTTTTATTTTCTAAATTTTTTTAGGGGCCCTGCAGGCCAGATATCCGGCCTGCAAGGCCATTCTTCGGCTTGTGGGCCATATTTTGCCCACCCCTGCTTTAGATGCATCTCAACTGATTTTTGTGTTAATTGATTTTCGTACTTATTGTTAAGAGAAAAGATGCAGTGATAGAAGTTGTAATTTAAAGATGCTCCCTAACTAAAGAAACGGAGGAAATCGGTAGTTAGGAGAAGGTCCCACAGTTAGGGTGGTTAGTGAGAGAAAGTCAGAGGTCTCCAGAGGTTGCCTAGTGCCCTGCAGTAAAGTAAGTTTAATTCTTGTCATTCAGGTATGCCTGTGTTTATTGAACCTGGTGATCACTGCTGTGTATATCTGAGAAAATGCACTGAGATAAAAAAAAATATTTTACTGATAAGAAAGGACTAGTGTTAATTACAAAGAATATTTTGGGGGGTAACAATTTTCTTCCCCATTCTGATTTTATAATTCCACCTAACTCCCTTAAATCTGGGAAGTCTACTGCTCAGTGAGTTTATTAACAAAGGGAAGAAAGCAATAATTGATCATTCTACCTTCTCACATTACACACAGATTCCTGTAAGATAAATGAAAGTCATTTTGAAATGTTTTATAAATGGTGAAGAATAAGTTCATACTGTTGCTTTTGTAGATTCCCCACCCCCCCAGGAGATGCAAGTGACCTCTCTTTCCAAGTTCTGTGGAATATGCAGCAAATAATCTCTTTCCCATGGTACAGTAAGTGCTTCACCAGTGAACATTTAAGTGAACCTTGGATCTATACATAAAAGTGAAAAAAAAAACCCATGTAGAATTTTAGAAGTTCCACAAGCTCTAAAAGGGATATGAACCACCTTTCACATTCCAGGTTGCAAAGTGATTTTATTCCACGTTTAGAACAAAAGTAGACAGAAGGCAAAGTAATTTCCTAGGATGAGAAAATAAATTAAACTTTATAAGGAATGAGAGAAGGTTTTATGTAATACAGTCTTATTTTTGTAAGTTTACAAGTGGGTCCCAAACTTCCTTTCCATTTACAAAATAAACAGTTTTTGGCTTTTTTTTTTTTTATTTATATATATATTTTGCAAAGTAGGCAATTTAAACATTTTCTTAAAAACAAACATATATATATATATATATATATATATATATATATATGTCTCCATAAGGACCATAGAAAATTTACTGCTTGAGCAGGTTTCCAGGTTTTACATATTCATCTTAGAGAAGTATTCTTTAAGTATTTGGTGACAATATACTGAGAAGCCACTAATCTTTCCCTGCAACTATTCTGACTAGACTTAGATATTTAAAAGGCAGTTCTTATAAGGACATTACTTATCATTTTTTCAATATGTAATCAGTGAATCCCATTGTCTTCAATTCAATCTGCAGTCAAAACTGGGTAATGCCACTTCTCCTTACATCATGCTCGATCTGTTATCATAATTTTAATAAAATAGCTGACTTCCATACATCAGGTTACCTGATGAAGAATTCATTGATTGCATTCAAAAGCTTGTCTAAGCCCAACTCTAATCTCAACCATGTAGTTAGTCCAATAAAGGATATCCATAACAATCCTTGCCTCTTGCATGTATAATTTTTGACATGGCATGATTTTTATTTCTTACATTAGATGCTCAATAAATGTTGCAGTTGGACATTACAGAAGTTAATACAAAATACACAAAATCGGTAGGGTATGAAATCAAGCCCCTACAAGTTTAGGACAGTGGCACCACCCTTTGTAAAACCATCAGAACAGAAGTAAGTAAATTGCAAACTATCTGGTTTGCAATTCTGATCGCTGTCATCTTCACTTAATATTACAGGTTTGTCAGTCCCATCCATGTGACATATACAGAGTTTGACTGTATAATGAACTTCAACTAGGCTATACTTGAGGCCATGCAGATTTTTTCCAGGATCATTATTTTCAATTTCACTCTTGGTTTATTTTTGTTCTATGAATAGATTGATATAGGGAGCTAAATTCAATTTAGATTTGATACATCAATGGAAATAAATTCTTTTTAGGGGGAGAAGGAGATATGGCAAATAGGAAAGGAATATAACAGAAACGTTAGGAAAAACTAGCAGCCCAAGTAACTCTAGGTAAGAAATTTCCACAGATGTTTTATTATCTGTAATCAGAAAGAAATTTATCAGTGGATCATTCAGGGAAGCCTACATGTCTCATCTCTCTTTGTTACCATTTTTCACTTGGAATTTTGAACTATTGATGTGTCATTGCTAATCAGAATGCAGGCTGTTAGAAAAAATACTTTATATGTAACACGTAATGCACTGGGTTTGCAATCAACATTAAGAATATAACAAACAATTAAAGTTCTTCATATGTATTCATTTTTATATATGAATGTTGCTTACTCACTTCATTGAAGTGAACATCTTGCATCCCAACATCCTCCATCATTGAAGCCTCTTCATCGATATTGGGAGTGATTACTCTAAAAGTAGTACAGCCTTGCCTAAACATCCCTGTTATTGAACAGAAGATACATAAATTAGCCTTGGTATAATCAAATAAATGTTATTGTCTGTACTTATATTCATGCCTGAAAAAGATTTGCTGCTACATTGTATTTCTTAGATTAAACACTATTCCTTCTGTAATCTTGGAAATGAAAGAAGTATCATTAACCAATGTAACCAATGGGAATGACAACATTTTTGTAACCTGAAGAATGGGATTTGATAACTAAAAGATTGTCCAACAATTTTCCTAACTAAAAGAGCTGGTCAAATAAAATATATTGGTCACTGTAACAGGAGGGACGGCAGGGTCGCCGTGCTATCCCCTGTCGCCTCCTCTACTGTGCCAAGCTTCTGACTTGCACCGTCCTATTCTCGCCCGCCATGACTTTGATGATCTGTATTTTTATAGGGAGGCTACCTCTCTTCCACTTGGCCACAGTTCTCCTGCTCCGGGTGTTCTGTATATCTAAGCCTTGTGGGCCTTCTCTGTACGCCACCCTTCTCACTAGGGCCTTCTCTGTAATACTGCCCCTCTCCCGGGGCTCTCCACACCCACACTGAGGCCTTCTCCGTGTGCCGCCCTTCTCCATACGCCGCCCTTCTCGCTGGGGCCTTCTCCGTATGCCGCCCTTCTCGCTGGGGCCATCTCCGTAGTGCTGCCCCTTTTCCGGGGCTCTCCGCGCACACACTGGGGCCGCCCTTCTCACTGGAGCCTTCTCTGTACGCCGCCCTTCTCACTGGGGCCTTCTCCGTAGTGCTGCCCTCTCACTGGGGCCTTCTCCGTAGTGCTGCCCCTTTCCCGGGGCTCTCCGCGCCCACACTGGGGCTGGGGTCCTCACTCTGCCGTGAGCCCCCTATGAGGCCTCCTCCATTCCCTTATAGCCTCACCCAAACCACCGGTGATAAACAAACAGCAACATAAACACAAGCCCCTGGGCTACAAAGCAAACATAAGCCTCCAGCCAAACTGCGCTCAGGCCTACCAGGGTTCTCTGTCACCCTGTGGTGACCAACGCTGCTCTGGCATCCCAGCTCGGCTTCTCTTTACCTTCTGGCAGGGAGCCTCTTCTGCCTTGGCTGCCTCCTGCCTGTGGTTTATATAGGAGCCAGGCCCTGCCCCTTCTTGTCAGCTGGCTAGGCAGGTGCAGATCATTACCTCCCTCTAGTTGCCTCAGCAACCAGCACCTGAGGAGTCTTCCTGGCTCTCTCAGTAGCAGGCACCTTAGTGTCCTGCTACAGTCACATAAAAAAAAAAGATTCCCAGAAAAATATGAACGTAGTTCAGTAATCCATTCCTCGTCTCATTTCCTGGACCATCATGGCTACAATACTCCAACCCTCCTGAAGTGGAAAAAAAATTCAAGAGGTCCAAGTGGTATTATATATTATGCTGCACATTTTAGAAGGTTACTCAAAATAGTAAAGCTCTTTTAAAAAACGTATTGTAGTATCATATTTACTCAAATCCAAGACCAAGTCAGTCCCTAGAACAAAACTGGCAGTTCCACAAGAAAACCCGTCTTCAACCTGGCAGAGGTGACTCATGGGACAATGAATATCTGTACACTTTCCTGCCACTTGATTCCTCTTAGAGACCAAGAGGTGAGCAGTGGAGAATGCTCCCCACACTTCCCTGAGACCAGAGGAGAACCTGGGTATGAGGAGCAGGTGGTAGCTTCTAAGTACAATCCATCAAAAGCCATATCAGAGATGTCTCTGAGATCATCAGGGTGGATCAGAAAAGACCTGTGTGATGTAAAGCTTGTGTATTCCTATTCAGATACTTTAACAGGAAGAGAGAGAAAAATAAAAGTTGCCTGTTCTCAAATTCAGTGATCTACAAACAAAGCTGGTGAGTTCTGTAAGCTACTAGCTATGAATTTTGGAAAAGATCTTGAAAGCATCCAAACTTTCACTGCCTACTGAGCCCATAGCTGAACCAAGAAACTTTTTTTTTTTGTAAAAACAAGAAAGTGGGCCTAAACTTCCTTTCCATTTACAAAATAAACAGTTTATGACTTATACATACACACACAGACTTCTCCATAAGGACCATAGAAATTTTCCTGCTTGAGCAGGTTTCCAGGTTTTACATATTTATCTTATACAGACAGATAAACTTTCTCATCAGATAAATATGATTGTCTGAGAACTTCAGGACCGTTTCAGCCACCATTGTTTTTTCCTCTTGATCAAAAACTAGAAAAAAGTGAGGGTCAAGACAGCTGCCAGTGTAGAATTCTCAGACAAATCTAGGGCTCTAAGTACTACTACCATAAAGTGCCTCAAATGCTAGGGCCCTAATTGTCCTCAACCTGTAGGAAAGTTCTTGGGATTTGGAGGTGAAGCAGCATCAAATTGCAGACTTTAACTTTCCCAAAAGCTTTGCATAGGTAGCCCACAAGCATCCTCTCTCAATTTTGCAGATGTGTATAGCTGGGTACATCTGACTCCACTGGGTGGCATATACATAAGCAGGCGTCTATGCCTCTTGTCATGTCACAAATCCCAAAATCGTGGCTGTGACAACTGGTAGTATGTGTGCTGCTTTTTGTAACAGACCTCTGTTTGCTTTGTGGTAGGAGAGTTTGGGCAGCTCAGAGTGGCCCGGGGCAGGTGAATTCCTATTCCCAGGACATGCAGTATGAGGCCCCTAAGCCCCCAGGAGCACCTGCCCAGGTTTCCATTTGCAGAGGTGTGCCCCAGGAATCTCTTGGCAGGGGACTCCCTGGGCACATGTATTGTGCTGCTGTGCCCTGACTTGGGTGTGCCTCTGCAAATGAGGGTGCTTGGGGTCCCCCCATTTGCATGTGTTCCATAGGATTGGGAACCTGAAGCCCTGGAAGCAGCAGTGGCCTGACCTTGCAGCCCAAAGGGTGATGTCTAGGTTGTCCAAGGTATCTTGGCACACCCGATCCATTTCATCAGGCAACATTTGTTTATAGCCTCAGAAATCAACAGAATACAACACCCTAGATGAATTATCATGTGTTGTTATCTTAAGCTATAATGACAAAACTAATATTACAAAATAATTATGAAAGTTTAAAATCATACCTTTTCGCGTGAGATATTCTGCAACCAGTGCTGCTACATGGACATAACACATTGCTGCCTAAAACAGGATAGAAATTGTAGTGTTACAAATGTTAATTATAATGAAACTTCTAACACTAATAATTTAATTACACATAAAGGACTCCTAATCTACAATTATTAAAGCATTAACTTTCTATGTGGATTTAAACCCAGTGAAAGTAAGAAATCTCATGTAAAAAAAGTTAATCAAGGAATGGAAGACAACTGGGCTATCACACAGGAAGAACTGAGTGACTTTAAGGATTATAGCAAGTGAAATGGAATTTAACAGCACAAAATGCAAGCTCACACATTTGAGCACTTCTGGTATTAGGTAAGAGTTTATCATTTGAGAAATGACTGAGAAAGATAAGGACCTTGATCTAGCATCTAATTATCAGAGAGATTTGCCTTAAATTCATTCCCTTGCCACTGCTGCAGCAGGTAAAGCAGTGGCTATATTGGTTGGGGTGGCGGTGTCAGGCAACGCCCTTCCCCTCTGCCTCCCCTACTTCTCCTCGCAGACATCCTGCCCGCTGCCCCCTCACCCTCAGCTGTCCACAACCTCTGCCTCTCTGCCTACCCCCACACTATCAGATGCTGCTGGGACTGTTCCCTCTCTGGAGCACAGCATGTGGAAGAACAGTCCCTGCCAGTCACACAGCAGCAGTCTTGGCGCTGCTGACTGGCCAGGCAGGGGATGGAGGTTTCCATGTGCTCCATGCTTGGGAGGAAATCCAGCCCTAGCCACAATGGAGCTGCTCCTGACAGTGTGTGTGTGTGTGGGGGGGGGAGAGGATGCAGAGGGCATGGGGGTGCAGGAAGCTGCTGTGGGTCTGACTCTATCCTCAACCCTGCCTCAAGGCCAGAGTTCAAGCCACAGCAGCTGCCTGCCCCCCTCCCCCCCTTTGTATGCAAGTCTAAAACAAGCCCCACCCCACATCACCTGTTTACAGTGCCCCCTCTGTTGTCTACATTGGACACATGGAGTGATCCATGTGTGGAAGGAGGAATAAACATGCATCTGACAAGCCTGTGGCAGAAACTTTAACCTTCCTGGACACTCCATTGCTGAGCCCAGAGTGGCTGTTCTTAGGTAATAAAACTTTCAAAATGAAGTTGAACAGGAAATTACAGAACAAGAAATAATTTAGACTGGATTGTGTAAACAGAGTATGGATTCTTATCCCGTTATCTGGATTAGCTTTTATAAATCCGGTGTCCCTCAATGGGTTAACTGGTTTGTTTTTCTCTCTTCTACCCACCTTGTCTCTCTTAGCTGCACTCTTTTTTCCCCCCTTCCCTACTGTATTCTAATCACTGCTTTCTACTTAGCAGCTATGCTTCCTGCTCTCTCTTCACAGCTTCTGATTAAGTACAGTAAGCCCTCCACGATACATCTCTGATCTAGTTAGTCTATAAAGGTGAAAATTTACCCAGTGTTTTAGGCTGTAATATAAACAGAAATAACTCATTAACAGACAGTTTTAAGATAGATACAGAAGGCCTCAAGTGGAGTATGGTGTTAGTGCCAGGAACTATACTTCAGGAAAGATGCAGATATAAACAATAAGAAAAACAACAAAAATAAATTTAGAAAATATGACCCATGAGGAAAGGTTGAAGGAACTGGCTTTGTTTGATCTAAAAAAAGAGAAGACCAAAAGGACTCACAATAACAGTCCTCCAACATGTAAAAAGTTGCTATCAGGAGGATAGTCATTTATTTTTTAAGTGGTCAGTGGGTGAAAAATAAGGAAAAAATTAGCTTAACTTGCTGGAAATAAGATTTACTATGGATATTAGGGAAAAACTCCCTAACTGTTAGGTTCGTGAAACACAGGAACAGGCTTCCTAGATATGCTGTGAATCTTCTTCAGTACAAAATTTTAGAAACAGGTTGGACAAACATTTTTTGAGACTTGGTATACTTGATTCCATCTCAGTGCAGGAGATTAGACCAGATGTTCTGCTGAGGTCCCCGAGAGCATTATGTTCTACAATACAATTGTGATTTTTAACCATACAACTAAAGAACAGGTTTGAAACACTAAGCATTTGTATTCCAAGATGTATTACTTATTACACAGCATATAGGGTACAAAGCAGAGAAAAAAAAATGTATGTTCAAATTATGTTGAAAAGGAAGTTAAATGATGAACCTATTTGTGTTGTATTAAAAAAGGGTTATATAGTTCAATGACATGAATAAGTAAGGTAACAATGTTACTTTACTTGTATGACAAAAGGTTCTCTCACTGAAAACAGACTTCCAAAAACACTGGAATGCATTTAATTGTAGGCACTAAATGTAGCCAGTTGCACTGAGCAAGGTATACTTAATTTTGTCCTCCTTTTCTAGCATGCTCAAAATACACGATTCATAGATTCATAGATGTTAGGGTCGGAAGGGACCTCAATAGATCATCGAGTCCGACCCCCTGCATAAGCAGGAAAGAGGGCTGGGTCTAGATGACCCCAGCTAGATACTCATCTAACCTCCTCTTGAAGACCCCCAGGGTAGGGGAGAGCACCACCTCCCTTGGGAGCCCGTTCCAGACCCTGGCCACTCGAACTGTGAAGAAGTTCTTCCTAATGTCCAATCTAAATCTGCTCTCTGCTAGCTTGTGGCCATTATTTCTTGTAACCCCCGGGGGCGCCTTGGTGAATAAATACTCGCCAATTCCCTTCTGTGCCCCCGTGATGAACTTATAGGCAGCCACAAGGTCGCCTCTCAACCTTCTCTTGCGGAGGCTGAATAGATCCAGTTTCTCTAGTCTCTCCTCGTAGGGCTTGGTCTGAAGGCCCTTAACCATACGAGTGGCCCTTCTCTGAACCCTCTCCAGGTTATCCGCATCCCTCTTGAAAATGCTTTTATAGTATACAATCAATGACACCTATTTTAAGTTTCTAAAGTTTCTGACAGATAGTTTGAGGAATCATCTCTGAGTAAAAGCTTACAAATAATTTAGAAGGAAGTTCAAAAAAAGCCCAGCTATTTTTGAAGGTTTCAGTTAAATTAGGGCTACAGGCTATAAATAACTTAAGGACATTTCTAACAGTTGCCTTCTGTACCTTGCACAGAACATTCCTGACTTAATATTTTTAAGTACTATCGCCTAGTATAATATTACATAAAAAGACAGAAAATATATACTAATTCTACTGTGGCAACAGTGGCACTTTTAACACAAGAATTATCTACCATCAGCATCAATATTTTTGGTGTTTTTAAAAGCCATTTTGAAATAGTGAGAATCCCATTTTATCAACAAAAAGAATTCTTACCCTGCCACACACTTATAAGAGAATATTTAAATTTTAAGAAACTCAAGCACTTTGATTAGCTAATTAAATATTTTGCTTTTCATTTGCTACCTCTGAAAGATCCCCATTTTTAACATGAATTTTTGCCATGCTGTCTAACCACGTCTTCCTCAGTTCAGGAGTGCTGGCATAGGACTTTGCCAAACTGTACTGAAGATCCACCAACATTTCTGGATCATTTTCATGCTCCTTCATTTGAGCTGTAGCCATTAATACTGTACGAATCCGCTTCGTCAAATCTTTGACATCAGATGGGAACGTAGTAAGCTAAAACACATAAGAATTTAAGAACTGTTTATTTTGTATTTCTTTCATGATCAATGCAACAGAATATTGGACAAGAAGCAAGTCCGTTTTTGCCTTCCTATAGTATGAAAAAATAATCAGTACAAACCTTAATAATTCTGTCATTGTTGGCACAGTTGTTAATGATGGAAAGAGACTGCTGAAATCTAGTTCCTCCAATTCCAATAACATCAGCAATCAACTGGCTTACTGAAATAATTACCTTGAAAAAGAAACATCTAGTAAATGCACATTTCACCAATCATTTTACAAATAAATCAAGAATTTTATCATTAAGACAAACAATAAAAAGGATTTCTCTAAAAGGGCCTAACTTTAAATAGAAAAATATCAGAACTAATGACTCAGGATAGACAACTCAAATGTATTGCAAATGTCTTCTAAAATGTAAAGCCTTTGGCCTGGAAACATTTCTAGCATTGGAACTGTATCATAGCCCCTGTCTACACAATTGTAAGTAATGCAGAAATTAAAAAAGCACTTCAAAAATATCTGTGGTACAGATCTAGTCTGTGGGCCTGATGGAGCCAACTTGGAATGGTCTGGCAGGGGCTCTGGGCAGCAGCATCTGGCACCAGCTGGGCAATTCCCATGCAGCATGCAGCCCATGGACTGGATCCAGACTGCAGACGGAGCCAGCACTGCTCATCTGGCCTGTGGGCCATAAAGGTCGGGCACCACTGGTATACATGATTCAACATTAGTTCAAAAAAGGATAATGGATTAAACAACAATTCAGGTAATTTGTCTCGTGTAGCTTGTCTGAAGGTACATTAGAGACCATCTACCATTTGAGGATATACAACCCAAAGATCTGATATGCAAAAAGAGAAAACAAAACATAACATTATACAATATTCTTAACCTTAACAAGAAAATAGATTTTAAAAGCAATGATGGACAAAGAGGAGGAAATAATTATACTAACTTGCAGATGTGTTCTTACAAAAGACTTCTTCCCCGTGTAATCAAAGTTATTTCTCATTAAGAAATACAGCAGCTGTGAAGCCTCAGTACGAATTGAACTCAGTTTGGAGTTACAGCATTTCAAAATCTCATAACACAATGCAGCACACATGTCAGCTCTACCTTCATAAAATGTGGAAGGAAACTATGGAAAGAATGACCCAGAGGGAAAAATATAAATCTTTTAAGGCTAACATCACTTCCTAATAAAATAAATGCTAAAGGTGGGAGGATTTTAATGAAACATGCTATTGTGCAGGGCTGCTGAACTCATCTCTGCCCTGTGAGGCAGATGAGTGGCCCTGAAGTGGTCCATGGGGCAGATCCCATGGAACTGCTCCTACCCCTCCCCCCAGCCCCTCCAGCATATCCAGCACTTGCTCTGGCTGGTCCAGAACTGCACCACGTGTAGTGCCCACTCTGGCTAGATAAGGACAAGAGCTGCATGCAGTGCCCACTTCCAGTGATCTGGGGCGGACACTGCATGCAGTGCAGGTTGTGCAGTTGTTACTGTGCCATCATTTAGCACTTGCTTTAGGAAGTACCAAATCATGGCGCAGTAATGGCAGCACACAGTTATTTTTAGCAGCTGTCACTATGGCGGCATGCTATAGTGAGGTAGTTCATCATTACAGTGATGTAGCGTTGGTGTCATGGTTTGTGCCCACTGGCTTACATATTAATGCTGTTTACAGAATAAAAGCACTAAAATGCCAGTAAACAAAATTATTGATAATAAAATAAATTTACAAATACAAATTTATACTCAGGTGAAAAAGAGGTCTGAAGTGGGTGAAGGAGAAGCAAGGCCTGTGACTTTAAAAATGCAATGATGATTCAGTTTCAATTTGGGAAATAAGAAACTACTCCCCGAGTGGTAACTATGAAAAAACAACAAGTAATTGAAGATTGACTTTTCATTTTAAAACTACTTACCTTAAAAATTAGTGTCCTTAAAGCACCAAAGACATTTTTTAATGAAGTTTCAGACTGGTTTTTCTGAAGGAAGCAGAGGTACACATCAAAAACCTTTTTCATCAGTTGATTATGCCCATGATCCGTCAGTAGCTGATTCTTAAAATTGACAATGACAATTTAAGATTTAATTATTTTTTTTAACTGAAAATACCTAAAATATTTACAAATAATATAAAAAAGCTTGGCCTCTTTTGACCAAGCTATTCCAAAAATATTCACGTATAGTGCTGTCTAAATGTATAAAGACTACACATATCAACTATTAATAATATACTTCTATATCTTCAAAAAATATTTTGTTATCAAAGTTATGGCTCTTTAATAAAATTATACAATGAAGATTATTTGTAACCAGTGTTCAAGATGTCAGTTAATATTTTGTCCTAATGCACTAAGTTATATGCAGCAGCCTTACAAATTTTAGTAAACATGTCAAGAGAGTCAAGTATGCTCTGGAGACTGGTCTTGCAGAGCATGACCTAACCCAACAGTGGGGAAAAAAGTTAGATTATAGCTTTCCTCTATACATTCTCCCTCCCACATCATAAACATTTGTAAAGATTTTCCTAGTCTCCTAGGAGCCCTTTCATGTTTAGAGTTCCATATTTTTGATTCACTCTAGTGATCAAAGTCTATGGAAGAAAAAATGACAAACGTAACCCCTGGCTAACACGGAGATATGATATCACTTCAGGCATAAAGATACATACTCTGCTATCACAGCTAAGAGAACATTTTAGACTACACGAATATCTGCAATGTATTCTGTAATACTGACTTCAATTACATTCTAATACTGGTGGTCCATGTTTCCTGTGCTTCTGCTTCACAAATCTAGTCCAACTGTATTGATTTCTACTACTACTACAGTTTAGGATTATTAGGATTAGAGTGCATATAAAAGAAGAACTCTTCATACAAGTAATACCACTTGTCAGTTTTTTTATATATGGGTAGACCAAAGATAATGGGATAGACTAAACTGTTTTTGCAGAGCTCTAGCAGCTCATCCAAAACCGTCAGTCAGGCGTCATTCTTTGATATAGAATGCAAACTATCAAAAACAGAACAGACAATTTCTTCTGGTGGTACAGAAGGAAGTTTAAAGCCAAGGACATCCAAAGTTCATGGAACTATAACACCCCCAGGGCTACCATATTTTCATCTGGTAAAGAAACAGTTTTCACTTGATACTCCAATTGGTTGTATTCTATCTAAGCTGCAGGCTCTCCCTTTTCCTCCAATAGTGTCAGGAACAATGGGAGAATGCTCTTTGAAGACCAGAGCAGTGGTTGGATCCAGGAAGCCTGGATGTGATAGATGATTTTTTCCCTGAGTTTAAGGAGACAAGGGCTGCTAATACCAGGGAAGCTGTGGAATCTTGCTGCATATTAATAGGCCTTTCAGCCCATGGTAGAGCACATAAGTCATGCCAGCATCCAAATTCCAGTACCATCCTATAGCCTATAGGGTAAATTCTCAAGAAACCAATCTGGTTAAACAAAGTAGTGCCATACTTGGTCAGACCACTGGCCCATCTGTCCCAGTGTCCCATCTCTGACAGCAGCAGTAGTGGATGCTTTCGAAGGAAGAGCATATCTAACCCCTGTCATTCTCTCCCTAGCATGCACCATCTTTGGTTTAGAAATGCTGGAGGATACAACCCTGATTGTTCCGTTTAATAACCATTAATGGATCTGTCATCCACGAATCTCTCATCTCTTTCTGAACCTGGCTATTCTATCTGCCTCTACAACCTTCTGTTGTAATTCGTTCCACAAATTAACTATACATTGTATACAAAGTACTTAAAGGTGTCTTCTGCTCACTTCAGTGACTGTCCCTTAGATTTAGTATTCTGGGAATTAGTGAGTAACACGTTTTTGTTCACAGCCTTTCCAGACCTCTATTATATATCCCAAGCCTTCTCCTTTCTTAAGAGTCCTAGCCTTTTCAGTCTGCTACTCCATAGCCCTGATGATCTTGGTTGCCCTTCTCTATACCTTTTTTAATTCTACTATATCCTTTGGTTCCTATTCATCCTGTAAATCTAACACCATTGAAGAAACGAGAGGACCTTTGACTTGGGTAAGATCTTAAAAGATAAGGTCACTTTGTTACATGAGCCCAAAGGTGTTCTTGGGGGTGATAGAAAAAAAAATGAAACAGCTTATTCAACCTTTTCCTTTTTTCAGGAGTAGGGATGTGAGAAACATAATTTGCAGGAGTTTAGTTAGTGTCATAGGTCTGGTACATTCAACCACATATTAGTGGTTAACTTTGGGTATTACAGTAACCAATGTTAACAACCATAATTTCAGCTCTGGAGCTCTCTCTAGATCCACTAATGTCCTTGAAATCTTGTAACTGACATTTAAGCAGATATTTACCCTACCAGGATTCAATTTTCAATTTAGAATTTAACTTGGCTCTGCCATTATTCTCTGACTATATCTGATAGCATAGAGTCTGATTGTGCAACAGTCCTGGAAATATACTCTACAGTCTAGACTGTAATCTTCATTACAGTACTTCTTTTCAGACCTGATGGGCACCTACACATGTGCCAGACGTTTGGTCACATAGGGATGCTAAATAGACATGATGCAGAGGCTGCTGGAGCACACTAATTAGCACGCGCCAGCGGACTTAATTGAGTCTGCTAGAGCGTACCAATTAGTGTGCTCCAGCAGCTGCTGTGTCATGTCTATTCAGCATCCCTGTAGTTTAAAATGGCAGCAGGGGCACTTTAACCAAAGCTTGTCAAATGACCTGTAGTTAAAGCGCCCCCACCACCATTTTGAAGTGCAAGATACTGAATACACGTGATGCTTTGGATGCTTTAAGTAGAGCAGTTCTTAGAGCCAGCTCCCAACACCTACTCCAGAGTACATGTACAGACAGCTAATATGACCCCCCCGCCCCAGAAAGAATATGTAGAGACATCCAATATGACCAGAGCCAATACAAATCTTCGTCTTGTATTTAGCCTCTTAGGCTCCTTCTACACGTTACAGATATCACACAGTTAACTGGTCAATTGCATAATTACCTTGAGACCAGCTATACCTGTAAAGTAGCCATCACATGATAAAAAAACTCCAACCACCTATAAAGTTACACCTTGAAAATGTGTACCAACTTTACAGCTGGTTGCTATTGAGCTTTAATTTGCACATATAGCAGGGTCTCCCCAGTGGCTGGGAGGCCCATCAGCTAACAGGGCTCCCAGACACAGAGGTGCAACCCCTTAGCCCTGGGGATCATGGCTGCCATGATCCCCAAGTCTCAGGAGTGCATTAAACCCCTGGGCCCACACAGGGCTCTTGGTCCTAGCTGTGCCTCACCCACAGTTGGGACCAAGAGCCCCACAGCTGACAGGGCTCTGGGTCCCAGCTGCAGCTCACCAACAGCCAGGACCCAGAGCCCTGAAGCTGACAAGGCTCTGGGTCCTGACTACACCTAACAGGCAGCCAGGACACAGAGACCCCACAGCTGATAGGGGTCTGGGTCCCGGCTGCATCTCATGGACAGGTGGGACTCAGGTGGGACTCAGATTATTAATGCTGACGAAAGCCCTGAGGTAAGGGGGGAAGACCAAAGCCCTGAGGTAAGTGGGGAAGTAGGTGACCTGGAGGAAGCACAAGCAGGAGGGGGCAACAGAGGAGGCACTCTCATTCTTTTTGAAAAAGTTGGGCAGTTGGCTAGTTACCTTAGGTGTCTGTACACAAATGCATGGAGCCTGAGAAACAAGCAGGAAGAACTGGAAGTCCTTGCACAGTGAGGGAACTATCACGTGACTGGAATAACAGAGACTTGGTGGGATAGCTTGCATGATTGGAGCATTGCTATGGATGGGTATAAACTGTTCAGGAAGGACAGGCACAGGAGTAGGAGAGAAGTTGCTCTTTATGTAAAAGAGCTCTACAACTACTCAAAGCTTCAGTATGAAACTGGAGACAGGCCTCTTGAAAGTTTCTGGGTTAGGGTCAGAGGGGAGAGCAACAAGCGTGATGTTGTGATGGATGAGTGCTATAGATCACCAGACCAGTAGAATGAGGCTTTTTTTAAACAGGTCCTGGTTTTCATGAGGGACTTCAATCACCGTGACATCTGTTGGAAGGGCAATACAGCAGTACACAGGCAATCCAGGAAATTCTTGAAGCATGTTGGGAACAACTTCCTAGTGCAAGTGTTGTAAAGGTCAACCACAGGCCGTGCTGTTCCTGACCTCCTGCTCACAAACAGGGAAGAATTGGTGGGGAATATAGTAGTGGATGGCAACTTGGGCAGCAACCACCACAAAATGACTGAGTTCAGGATCCTGAGGAAAGGAAGGAAAAAGAGCAGCAGAGTAAGGATCCTGGACTTCAGAAAAGCGGACTTTGACAAACTCAGGAAACTGATGGGTAGGATCTGCTGGGAGGCCAGTCTAAGGGGAAAGCTGTCCAGGAGAGTTTGTTGTAGCTTAAATAAACCTTACTGAGGGCACAGGAATGAACCATCCCAATGCACAGGAAAACTAGCAAAGCTTGGTAGAAGGCCAGCTTGCCTTAGCAGGGAACTCTTCTGTGAGCTAAAACACAAAGAGGAAGTTTACAAGTAGAAACCTACACAAACAACTAGGGAAGAGTATAAAAGTACTGCTTATGCATGCACAGATGAAATCAGGAAGGCCAAACCGCAACTAGAGTTGAAGCTAGCTAGAAATGTGAAGGGTAACACGAAGGGTTTCTACATGTATGTCAGCATCAAGAGGAAGATCCGGTAAAGGGAGGTACCTTACTGAATGGCAGAAGCAACCTCGTGACATGTGATGTGGAAAAGACTGAAGTACTCAATGCCTTTTTCACCTTGGTCTTCACAGGCAAGGTCAGCTCCCAGACTACTGCACCTGGCAGCACAGTTTGGGGAGGAGGTAAGCAGCCAACAGTGGCAAGAGAACAGGTTAGGGACTAATTAGAAAAGCTGGATGTGTACAATTCTTTGCAATGCACCCAATGGTGCTGAGGGAGCTGGCAGATGCGACTACAGAGCTGTTGGCCACTGTCTTTGAAAACTCATGGTGATCAGGACAGGTCCTGGATGACTAGAAA